TTTCATTGATCTTTTGTATTGTTTTCTAGACTCCATATCATTTATTTCCACTCTGCCCTTTACTAGCTCCTTCTTCCTACTTACATTGGATTTTTCTTTTTGTTCTCTTTCAAATTCTTTAAATTGTAGGATTAGAAAGTTCATTACAAATTTTTCTTGTTTCTTGATGTAGGTCTCTAATGCTATGAACTTCCCTCTCAGGACTGCTTTTGCTGTGTTGTGTCCCATAGATTTTGTGTTGTTGTGTGTTCATTTTTATTAATTTTCAGGAATTTTTAAAAAATTTTTTCTTGATCTCATTGGTAACTCATTCATTATTTAGTAACATGTTATTTAGCCTCCATGTGTTTGATTGTTTTTTGACATTTTTATTGTAATTTATTTCCAGACTATGCCATAGTTCCCGGAGAAGATGCTTGATATAATTTTGGGATATATATATATATATATATATATATATATATATATATACCAAAAAAATGTTTTTAATTGATTTTTTTTTTTTTTTGGTATGTGCCCCTAGAGGGAACAGAACCTGGGAGTCTCTGGTCTGCAGGCTGCTGCTCCAACCACTGAGCCAAACCGGCCAGGGCATTTTTATTTATTTTTTAGAGAGAGAGGAAGGGAGAGAGAGAAACACCAATGTGAGAGAGATATATCGACCAGCTGCCTCCTGCATGCCCCCTACTGAGGATCAAGCCCACAACCTAGGCATGTGCCCAGACTGGGAATCAAACCAGGACCTCTCAGTTCATGGGACGATGCTCAAACCACTGAGCAACACCACCCAGGCTGATTTCAATCTTCTTGAATTTGTAGAGACTTAGTTTGTATCCTAACGTGGGGTTGCTTTTTAGAATGTCCCATGCACACTTGAGAAGAATGTATATTCTACAGCTGTATAGTGAAATGTTCTTTAAATATTACTTAAATACATCTGATCTAGTGTGTCACTTAAATTCTCTATTCCCTTGTTTATTTTTTTGTCTAGAAGATCTATCCAGTTTTGTCAGTGGGGTGTTTAATTCCCTCACTATGATTTTATTGCTGTTGACCTCTCCATTGAAATCCACCAGATGTTTTAAAATATATTTTGGTGCTCTTATATTGGGTACATATATGTATACTAGGGTTATGTCCCCTTGTTAGATTGATCATTTTAATATTATGTAGTGGATTTTTTGGTTTCTTATTGTGGTCTTCATTTTAAAGTCTATTTTATCAGATATGAGTATTGCTTCCCCTGCTTTTCTATTCATTTATTTTTAATTTCAAGAAAATTTCTTTCCATCCCTTTACTTTTATCCTGTGTGAGTCTTTTATTTTGAGGTGGTTCTCTTGTAGACAACATAAACATGTGCTTTGTTTTCATATCTGTTCTGGTACCTTATGTCTTTGATTAGAGCATTTAGTCATTTATATATAAGGTTCTTATTAATAGGTACTTACTTTTTGCCATTTTTATTCTTTATGCCTGTGTTCCCTTCTTCTTCTTCTTCTTCTTCTTCTTCTTCTTCTTCTTCTTCTTCTTCTTCTCCTCCTCCTCCTCCTCCTCCTCCTCCTCCTCCTCCTCCTCCTCCTCCTCCTCCTTCTTCTTCTTCTTCTTCTTCTTCAAGTCCTTTTAGCATTTTTTGCAATGTTAGCTTGGTGGTAGAATCTCCTTGAACCTTTTTTTTTTTTTTTTTTTTTGTCTCTTAATCTCTTTATTTCCCTTTCAATTTTGAATGATAGCCTTACTGGATAGAGTAGTCTTGGATTCAGTTCCTTGCTTTTAATTTCTTTGCATACTTCACGCTACTGCCACCTGGCCTGTAGTGTTTCTATTGACAAATCAGCTGACATTCTAATGGGAGCTCCCTTGTAGGTAACTTTCTGTCTCTCTCGCTGCCTGTAATATTCTTTCTTTGTCTTTAACTTTTGCCATTTTAATTATGATGTGTCTAGGTGTGTTTCTTTTGGGATTCATGTTAATTGGGACCTTTTGTTTTTCTTGGATTTGTGTGACTTTTTCTTCACCATGTTAGGGAAGTTTGCTGTCATTATTTCTTCAAACATATTCTCTTTCTTTATGCTACTCTTCTCCTTTTGGTACACTTATGATGTGAATGATGTTGCATTTTGCATTATCCCAAAGGTCCCTTAAACTCTCCTCCTATTTTTTTTTTTCTTTTAGCTCCTCTAATTAGATGTTGTTTTCTACCTTGTATTGTAATTCACTGATTCCATCTTCAGCTTCTTCTAATCTACCATTGTATCCTTCCAGGGTATTTTTTTATTTCAGCATGTCATTCTTCATTTCCACTTGATTGATATTTATACCTTCTACCTCTTTCATGCAGATGTAATTTCCACTGAGTTCTTTATAAGTTGCTTGTAATTATCACTAAGTTGTTTGAACACCCTTATAACCATTTCTTTGAATTCCTTATTTGATAACTTGCTTACCTCCACATCATTTCTTTTCTTTTCTGGCAATTCCTCCTTTTCTTTCATTTGGGTGTTGTTTCTGTATCTAATCTTTTTATAGGTCTCATTGTCTGGGACAAGGTGGGGTGGGCGTGGTCACAGGAGCAGGTCACTGCATCCAGGGACATCAGGTTGCATTGGGTCATGCATGCTTGATCTTTTATCCAGTCTAGTTGTCTAAGCATGCTAGCAGCTCTCAGTGGCTCCAGCAGGGCCAGAGGCTCTTTGCTGCCAGAAGCCTGCTGTGATGGCAGCTTTTGGATGCAATAGGGCTGGTCACTCTGTGTTATTGGCAGGTCTTTTGGGTAAAGCAGGGCCTTCTTCTGCTGGTGGGTCCCCTAGGTGAGGTGGTCCCCTCTGATGCTGGCAGGTCCCACAGGCGAGGTGAGCCCCTCTGGTGGGATGACAGGGACTGTGAGCCCCTCTGCTGTTGGTGGATCTTGTGGGGGTGACAGGGTCTTCTGTTATTGGTGAGTCCACTGGGGCAATGGAGCACTCTGCTGCCAAGGGAGGGGCAGTGGGGCTGGAAGTGTCTATTTGTGACCTAGGTCTCTGGGTCTGTGCAGTTCCCTGCAACCTCCTCCCTAGGAGAACCACATGAATCTCCAAAATGGTGCACTTTCTGATCTGGTGTAGGGAGAAGCACCTGGCTAGAAGTGTGCTTCTGCTGCTGGTAGCTCCCTCCACACAGGGCATGCAAAGGGTTCACCGTGGGTTCAGGCAGCTGTCCACCCACACTCATGTCCGTGCAGACTCTCTCACACATGCTCACCCACTAACACTCACCCTCATTCTAGTCCTGCCCACCACCATGTTGGACTCTCTACTTATTTTTTTCTTTATTGGTTTTTAGAGATAAAGGGAGAGGGAGAGAGAGATAGAAACATCGATGTGAGAGAACATTGATTGGCCACCTCATGTATATCCCTACTGGGAATCTGGCCCACAACCTTGGCATGTGCCCTGACCAGGAATCAAACTGGTGACCTCTTGATGCATGGGACAATGTTCAACCCATGAACCACTGAGCCACACCTTATTAAATTACTGGTATACTCATTTTATATTGAACTAAGTTAAGCTTCAAGAATTATGTGACTTGCCTAAGATCCCACAGCCAGCAGGTTGTGGATTCAAATCCAGATATGTCTGAACTGACTCCAAAACTCTTTTTTCCACTAGATCACATTGTCAATGGATGCTGACGTAGATGTTATTGTAGATATACCCAGAGTTTAGCAAATGAATTTCCCAGCAGGGAAGAGGTCCTGGTGGAATCTGGGAGGCATCAATATGTGATGGCATCCACCCACAGCTTGGGAATTTCCCTCGGTGCTCAGCTGCCTCAGAAGGGAAGGAAGGCAGCAGATGGCCACACTGATCTAATGGTTCGGATTGGAGGATATTACAGCACTGAAGAAAGAGTGAATGGAATTGAGAAAGCTGGCAGGCAAAGAGAAGTCTAAGCTAAATTTAGGAAAAAAAGTGAAACCCAAGAGTATTTGCTGAAAAAAAGAAAAGTGAGGTTGTCAAGGGACTAGAAGGATCCATAATGTAAAGAGCTGCAATGAAAATAGGAGTATATGGTTTAGTTTGTTTCTTTTCTTATTCTTTTTTTTCTAGAGTTATTGAGAAAGCAATCCAAAAATGCCCTAAAAAGTTCATCTTATAAGCACCTGGTCCTGTTGAGATGATATCAGTCCCTTAAAGAAAGAAACAACTCCAGGCAACTTATTGGGTTCCTGTTATTAATTATAGATATGGATATAAATAACACATCTATATCTATTTGTATATCTATATAGAGAGAGACAGAAAGAGAGAGATTAAGATTTGAAAGTGGGGAGGGAAGGAGGGAGGAGGAGAATTAAGTTAGAGAACTCAATCCTCTAGAGCTCAGGTGTGTCTCTATAGGCTAGGCAGTCATAGCTAAAATAAACCACATCCTGAATCTTAGTGAAAGACTTACATCACTGAATTCCTATAATACATGTCAATGAAGGTGTTGCGAATCTAAAAATTAAAAAAAAAAAAAAATGCAGTGGTTTTTCTTTAAAAGTTAGTGATAGAAGCTGGGGTTGCATTTGCAGTAGGACCACAAATAGGCTTCCATTCTTCCAAGAGAAATTTGTTGCAAAATGATTTGGGCAACTGCATCCTAAAAACACAGCCCAGCAAGGGTAATGGATCATCTTGGAAACATCTGCAATTGGCTATTTTCAAATGATGACAGTGTGAAGTTAACTGCTTATTTAAGAACTTTCTTTTTCATCCAAAGTAAATTCAAATATGATTGAAAATCTGACCTTTTATTACAGGGTCTCTTTTGACTAAAAGTATAATTGAATTTTAATTCCGAAATATCTATGTGTATACAGTACCATGAAAACAGCATACATTTTGGCTCCATGCCCCAAAGATAAATTGGCTTTGGGATTATTTGGATTATAACAAAACCTTCATTAAGATGTGTATTTAATTTTCATGATGTCTTCTTTTTCCTAAAGATAAAAAATAGTTCTTTTAAATTTCAGTTTTTCTTGATCGTGAAAATGCCACCAAAATTCTGAATCGGCCAAAGAGATATAATTCAGGTAAATTGGAAGAGTTTGTTCAAGGGAACCTTGAGAGAGAATGTATAGAAGAAAAGTGCAGTTTTGAAGAAGCACGAGAAGTTTTTGAAAACACTGAAAAAACTGTGAGTATTTCCACATAACATTCTTCAGATGCAATGAATAGTAAATGTAAAAAAAGAGAAACTTCTCTTTGTAATTTAAAAATATCTATACATATATGTACATTATAAATACTATAAAAGAGAAGGAACCAAATCCAAAACATTTTAAATACCACCATTAACTTCTTCTCTTTTTCTTTATAGACTGAATTTTGGAAGCAATATGTTGGTAAGCAATTCATTTTATGCTCTAGCTTGTATATGAAACATTTGAGAATTATGTATTGTTTTCTCTGTGTAAGTATATAATATATTAAACTCAGTTAAAAGAGCTGAGCTAAATAATTTCCATTTTTGTATTCAAGATTGAATGGAGATATACTATAGGTTTATGCCAGCATGGGAGATATCAGTTGGCAGATAAGCTTACTCATCCCTGGGGCTTCAAAAAGAAAGCTGGAAGGAAGAAACAGAGATGATTGCATCTTGGAACTGAATGAGAGTTTGCAATCCCCAGTAGAGAATCAGAGAATGTTCATTGACTTAAATGTGTATTACTTAAAGGTCCTCCTCCTTATGATAGCTTATAAGGCCCTCCACAATTGCCTTGTCCATCCCTTCCCATTGCCCCTCCCATTTCATGTCCTATTGCTCTTGCCTCACTTACTAGACTTCAGCCATCCTGGCCTCCCTAATGCTTTTTGTACACTCTAGGAAAGCTCCCAATTCGGTCTTTGATCTAGTTGTTCCTTTAATGTGGAATGCTCTTCTGCTAGGTTTCTCTAGGCTTGCCACCTCACCTCCTTTGGGTCTTTGCCTAAATTTCATCATCTCAATGAAGCCTACCTTAATCATCTATTAATAGTTCAACCTGCCCACCATAACTCCTTCACTTTAGTCACCATATACTTCTCTATTATTTTTCATAGCACTTTTCACTATCTGAGGTATTATATCATGTTCTTACTGATACTATTTATTATTTATTTTCCCCACCTCACTTGACAACAACCTTCATGTTGGTAGGGGTATTCAATTGTTTTGTTTATTGATGCATTCCTACTAGCTCAAAGCACTTTCTTACAAGTAAAGAAGCACCGAGTTAATATTTTTAAAAGAAATTTACCAAAATGAGGAAAATGCAAAACTTTAATGACAACTAAGCTTTAAAGTTAATTTAAAATCCAGCTGCAGGATTTTGTGACAGTGTAAATGTTATAGGTAGATTTACTTGGGCAGCAAATTCACTGAGTTCCAACAATTTGAGATCCAGTTCTAGTTTCCAGTTCCTATTCTGGAGACATTGTTGGACTTGTTCATACTCTCTTAAGTCATAATTTCTCAACTTTTGTTTTTAAATCATGAGGGAAGAAGAGGTTCCCTCCATTACATTTGCTTTATCTGCCTTTCTTTATTCTTGGTAATGAATACTACCATGCCAATTATCTACTGAGTAATTCCCTACAGTTAGTCCAAACAAGTCTTTTCATTCTCTATTTCTACTATATTTAAAATTTCAAATCTTGTGGTATATTTTTAAAGCACACCAATTCCTAAACTTCCCCCAAAAAAGATTCTTGGCTGCATTTAAACTCCCATTATTCCTTCATTGCCTACCCCCTTTACCTGACTTCCCATACCCTAGCAGAGGTAGGTCAGTACCTCTTAAGACCCATATTTTGAAGTTGGGCTCCTGCCTTCTAGGTCACAGGCAGTGGTTATTGTATCTCAGGTAAAGATACCTGGGAAACATTAAGGACATGATTCTGTCACTACAGTTTTGTCTACCGAAAAAAAAAAAAAAAAAAAACACCACAAACAAGAACAGTAAACAAAAATATAATAACTCCATGCCTCTTTTCACTTGCAACTGAGATTCCTAATTACCCCCAAATAGCCTATGCTATTTCTCATTTGTGGGCTGCCACATACATCAGGGACACAGTCCCCTTACTTCTGCCCTACTCTGTACCATCAACTTACCACATAAAGAGCCTGGGTGAAGAAGAAATACTATTCAACCACATTAACCAGCATCTGTCAAGTACTTTGCAGTTTATAGAGTGTTTATCACACTTAACTCTCATACCAACACTGTGAACAAAGTATTATTAACCCCATTTTACAGAGGAGGAAACTGAGGCTTAGGGAGATTAAAAGACTTCCCAAAGATCACCCTGCTAGGGAGTCATGAAGCCCAGGAAAGAACCCACATTTTCTAAAGCCCAAAGCCTTGACTTCAATATTACCCCTCCCAGTCTTCACATTTAAATGCAGTTATTCATTAAACACCAACCTAATAGCGTTAAACAGGAAACTGTCACTTGGCAAGGTCTGGTCCCTTGTCTTTGACCCCTACTGTCTGTAGTTTTGCCTCAGCCCAAAGTACACACAGACGAGCACCCAAAGGAGGACTAAAAGTAGGATAAAATGATACTCATTTTAAAGATATGTCTCAGCAAATAAGTTGCTGTGTAGCTGGCTGCAAGCCCAGACCCTTTCAATGAAACATCCTAAATAATTCAGATCCATTGGTCTATAATATAAAGTGCAAATGTAGCTAGTTTCTTAGACCAGTTCTGAATACCAATAATAATAAACCAGAGAGAACATATTTTGTTTTTATAGAATTGGAACAAATTGAAGTATTTGTACAAAAGCACACTGGATCAAGGGGCAGAGAGGACAAGGTCTAATTTTTATAGGAAGCACACTTTCCAGAGAGGGACTATTTCTAAGAAGGGAGATTATTCCTTGGTCAATGGGACCTGGATACATGCTACTGCTCTCCCCAGAGGTGGTAGGGATCTACATGCTAGATGACAGGGAGTTTTGCTCTATGATGGATAATTAGAAATTATTTGACCCCTTTCTCTCATTCTTTCATTCTTATGTCATCTTCATCTTCTACTGTTTTGTTTCTCATATATTGTCTTGCTGATTTAGCTCCCATTTTTTCCTTAGGACTATTTATCTTAGCTCAAAGTGCATACCAGTCTACCTTCTGGTCCTATTCATCCCTTTCTCATGAAGCTTCCTTAGAAGTATGGGTGGAGGAAGAGCTCTAAGAAACCAAACTTAAAGCTTTCTTTCTCATCCTGACCCTTTCTTCCTCTCTTGCCTATTTCTTCTTCCTGTTTTTTGTTTGTTTTTTACCACTGGTCTCTTCAAAGGCTTTCAAGAACTCTATGAATATAGAAATTTTAGGAAAAGTAGAAAGAAAATATAGCCAATCTATACATAAAAAGGAACGTTTTCAGATTATTTTCTTTTTCAATTCTTTTTATTGAAAGTTATTTCTCACTTTACCTAGACCATTTGGGACCTAACTCACAGACAGAGTATCTTTAAGCAACAACAGATGTTTCTGGCATCTTTTCTATTGTTTTGAACTATAACTGTGTATTATACTTAAAAATTAAATGTTAACCCAAAGAAGAGGATGCATTTGCTTCATGCATTGGCCACCAGTTCTTTGAACTAAAGTGCCATATGTTAGCTGGCTCAGCTTGCAGTGTAAGACCCTATGATAGAGCAGGCCTTGCATGACATATAGATAGTAATTATTGAAGTGATGTGATTTGATTTGAAATTTACTCTGCCACAATTTTATAAGAAAGGACTGAAAATTCTTCTCACTATGTGCATCCTATAAACAGCTGGCTTCCAGGTCAACAGTTCTTCTCTGACCCTAAAATCAAGTTCCCCTCCCACGAGTCAAGTCTGTGCAGGAAGGACTGGGTATTCTAAACAATTTATCTTCTAATTCAACATCTTAATCTATCTCAAAGATGGAGATCAGTGTGAGTCCAATCCATGTTTAAATGGTGGCCTATGCAAAGATGACATTAATTCCTATGAATGTTGGTGTCAAGTTGGATTTGAAGGAAAAAACTGTGAATTAGGTAAGTAACTAATTTTGGATTACTAATGGTTTAAAATTTCCCATTTAAACCAGATTAAACTGGAAAATGCAATATTTATGTATCTTAATTTTCACTCAAAAACATATGCATTTTATTGTGGTAAAGAACACAACATGGGATATATAATTTTAACAAATTTTGAAGTGTACAGCACAGTATTGTTAACCACAGGCACTATGTTGTACAGAAGATGTCCAGAACTTATTTATCTTGCAAAACAGAAACTATACCCATTGAACAGCAACTCCTCATGTTCCCTTCCCCATTCTTTCTTTCTATGTGTTTGACTGTTTTAACCATCTCTTATAATCATGAAGTATTTGTCCTTCTGTGACTGGCTTACTTCATTTAGCATAATGTCCTCCAGTTTCATCCATGTTGTTGCATATGACAGGATTTCCTTTTGAAAGGCTGAATGATGCCCTGTATAAAACATACTTTCAAAGCTTGTAAACATGCATTTTATTTCCAGGATGAGTTCCAGAAACAATATTAAGAGAAATAATAATATTTGGCAGATAATAAGTAATGATGTTCTACTCACTTATTAATCCTCAATAAACCATATGTGGTCAGTACCATTATTATTATCATGATTCCATGAAGATGAGAAAACCACAGCTCAAAATCACAAGGGCAAGTAAATTGTCGAGCTGGGACTTGAAATTCAGTTTGTCTGACCAAAACTCATGCTTCTAACTACTGTCCACAAAATGCAAAGAAAACTGAATCCATCAACTGAACTCATGACTAAATTGCTATCACCATAGGCAGTGGAGGTCAAGTAACTACAGAATTGGGGAATGGCAAATTCATATCTCTCATATAATAGGCACTTCTCCACACATGTCAACCACTTTATATGTTAAATTTGTTGACAAAACTTTGATCTCCTACATTGATTACACTGAAAGAGTTACATAATAAATTTAGGTTCAGTATGCATATTTTTCTCTCAGAGGCTAGAATATGTTTTTCTGATATTTTGGCAATTGGGGCCATAAAACCCAAGTCCTTTAACTACTTGTTTGTTACCTCTGGATGCAAGATTATTGGTATTGTGCTTGTGAAAAGCACACAGTGCTAATGACAGAATCTCTTTCTACTCTGAAACTTCAGAAAAATAGAGATGCAATCCTAGGGAGAGAATTTAACACCACAGGCTTATATGAGAAGGGCAAAATGTAGAAAATTAGCAGGACTCTTACTTAGGGCATTATAGCTATCTACCTGACACACAGATGAAAAAAGCATAAAAACAAAATGAAATGCAGCTGCTGCACTTGTCCTATTGAGAAAGGAGGAAAAGTCACCTGTAATGTTCAGATCATTTCAGTATTAAAGAAAAGTCCATTGATCATCTTCCTCTGAGGTACAAAAAATTTAAAGAATAGAAGATATGCAAAAAAAAAAAAAAGTGGCAGGTACAAAACAGTTTAAAATATAGAAAAGAGTGAATGCAGGTTGATGAGCTGGGACACCTGGCCTGGATTCTATTTCCTCAGATTTCTTAGTGAGGGGACAGACCAATCCCTAGGATGTATTAATTGGTTCAACATCTATGAGGGACTACTTTCATTCTGACTGTGCATCCATCATTTCTGACTGGTCCTTTTTTATGCTCTTGAGGCCCTCATTAAGTTCACTGAGCATCCTTATAAGTAGTATTTTGAACTCAGCTCTGTTAGGTTGCTTATCTCCATTTTGCTTAGTTCTTTTCCTGGAGTTTTGTTCTGTTCATTTCTTTTGGACCTGTTTCTTTGTCTCCTCATTTTGGCTGCCTCCCTGTGTTTGTCTCTGTGTATTACTTAATGAGAGGTATGGGGCTATCTGAGACCAGATGCTGCTTGTTTGAAAGAATTTAGGAAAAACCTGAAGGAGGATACAAGACAGGTCAATCCTATGGTTAAGGAACTGGCAACAGCTTGGGTGGGCCTGGAAGTTGGGTGGGGCAGGGCCTCAGGGCATCAGCAGGGCGGAGCAACCAGTGTGAGCCAGGTTGCCAGAGTCCCAGATATGGCGGCTGTCTGCCGCCCCAGGGAAGGGCTCACCAAAAGAACAAAGGCATCTGACAGCACGTCTGTCCTGGAGAAAGGCCCCTCTCCAGCCCTCGCTCCAATGCCAAACAGCTCAGTTCTTCCCTGTATGTCTCTGGTGCCCCTGGAGCTGCCTCCCTTCCAAGCTTAGAGGGAGTGAGTCCAATAAGTCCATGCACAGGTCCTTTAAAGAGCTGCCTGGGCTCCAGCCACATCAGCTTCCCTGAGCCTCAGTTCCCGCTGCTTTTTCCAGCCAGAAGTTATGGAGACTTCTCTTCCTGGCACTGGAACCCTGAGTGGGGCACCTGGTGTGGAATGGGGAACCCTCAGTCCTCCGGGAGGACCTTCCCAGCCAAGGTATCCTTCTGATATTTATCCGCCACACGTGGGTGTGGGACCAGCCTGTCCGCCTCCGCCCCTCCTACCAGTCTCTATGTGGCTGCTGCTTTAATTTCGTAGTTGTAGGACTTCCATTCAGCTTGATTTCAGGCAGTTTTGAATGATGGTTTTTCTGTAGTTTAGGTGTAACTTTGATGTGGTTGTGAGAGGACGCAATACCGCGTTTACCTACACTGCCATCTTGACCGGAAGTCCTCTTTTTTTTTTTTTTTTTTGGTATGTGCCCCTAGTAGAAACCGAACCCAGGACTCTCTGGTCCGCAGGCCAATTCTCCAACCACTGAGCCAAACCAGCCAGGGTGGGAGATTTTCATTATTCAGATATTTTTGTTTTCCTTTTTCCTTGTCCATGAGGTTCCTCTCCAGGACATGCTTTCTAGTTAGAAGAATAACAATTAATTGGCTATTGTGTCCCTTTGGCTAGAATAAAGGTCACTGTATGTCCCCAGCTACACATCACTCCTGTGTCCTTTTCAGATAGGTGAAGGTCTGTAAGAGCTTGGTCACTTCCATCCTTTCTAATGGTATAAGAGGCATTTCTCAACAAACACTTTTTTTTTTTTCATTTTGCTAACACATTACAGACACTACTGTCCAATTTCCTATGAATTTCTGTGGAATGAGAAAAAAAAGAAAATATCTTTAGGTTAGCATGTTCTGGGGTAAACTTCTTAAACAGAACATCTTTTATCCAAACTTTAGTTTTCATATCAGTGAATATATTAGGGTAGAAGGCAGTACAAAATAAAACATAATGGTAACTTTTGTTATAGAGATGAGAGGAACAAGAAAGAGGAGTAGGTACCAACAAGGAGGGAGAAGAACATATGTTTCAGGCACTGAGACCAGCCTCAGAACCAGGGAGACCCCAAACCCAACAGTGACTGAAAACTAGGTGCTCAATAAATTATTGGTGAATGAGTCCCAGAGTAACTGTTCCTTAGATCCTAGACTATGGACCTTTCCATTGGATATCCTTATGCTACTAAACTATTTCCAGAATTTTAAGTCCTTTATCTGAGGGCAAGAGACTGCTGATTGGACTGCAACATTTCCCACTGCATGTACAAACCAAGCTGGAAAGCAACAGTAACATACTGGGTCAAGAGCAAGGACAAATGAGAAAAATCATGGAGAGGTCTAGTTATTTAGTCAAGGGCACAGAATCAGAATTGGGAAAACCGTACTGAGTTTACTCACTCCTGTTATGTATGCCCTTCCCCAAACCAGGCTGGACATACCACTGTTAACTTATCACAATCTCATATTGAAAGAATATTTTACACCCTGGCCAGTTTGGCTCAGCGGTTAGAGCGTCGGCCTGCGGTCTGGAGAGACCCGGGTTCGGTTCCCGCTAAGGGCACGTACTTCGGTTGCAGTTTGTCCCCGGCCCTGGTTGGTCGTGTGGGTGGCAGCCACTCGATGTGTTCCTTCACGTCGATGTTTCTCTTTCTCTCTCCCTTCCTCTCTCTCCCTCCCACTCTATCTGTACAAAAAATGGAAAAATGTCCTCGGGTGAGGATAAAAAAAAAAAAAAAAAGAATATTTTACATAAATAGTATTTGATTTGGCTCAACACTTTAGTACTGTTTGTAGCAGCAAAAATTATAGCTCGTCCCATGTAGTCACCATGAGTAAGGAAAAAGTTCTTTAAAAAATAAATAAAAAGGACCAAGTGATACCTTTTTGGATCATGCACTTAATGGATTATTGGTAGCAAAGGTTAAAGCTCAGGCTGTTTTCTTTGTCTACTTGGCAACAATTGATTGGTGATTGTCCTCCCCTTATCTCCTGAAGTATCAGTAAGGAACATGAGCTAATTGTTATCTTAGCCTATACTAGCCTATGCAAAATATAATTAAAAAATTTAGATTTGTCACTCAAAACTCCATAATATACTCCAAAACCACATAGTCACTCTGTCAGCCTGGATTTCCCCAGAAAAAAAAAAAAGTCTGTGACACAAGATAATTAATTAAGGAACAATCCTAGGGAGCAAGAGTAAAGGACAGAGGAGACTGGCAGTGAGGAAAGGAAAACCAATAATAAGATGAGTGTTTTCTTCATCTACAACTGACTGATCTCTTGGAACTGTTTTCCAATAAGCCATATGAACTGGCCTAAGGATAGGAGAGGGAAAGAGGTGAAAATATTTGTCCATAAACATTTGTCTCCCATTGGTCAAAATTTCAGCTTATGGGTTGAACACATCTCCAGGCTGTATGTGTTAGGACACCCAGAAAGTTCATGTGGTATCCCATGGCTCAGCATCAACTAGGAAGTGCCAAGGTAGGAAATAAGAGGCATGAAGTGCAATTGTGAGCCAAAGCCATTCAAGGCCATGCCTACTTGAGGTCAGTGAAAGTCTCTGCAGAATTGATCACCACAGTGCTGCGAGAAGACACAGGCAAAGCTGGGAGGAACTGAGGTGGTGCATAGGAGGTGTCTGATACAGTTACTCATTTTCAGACTTTCCATGTTCTAATTGTACTTACGAGTGAGCATTTCTATTGAAAGTTGTACTACCGTTGAGCATATAGATAAG